AAAAATTGCGATATTCCAATTGGTTTATAATTGATTAAATGGCTCTAATCCTGATTGCTCTGATTCAGAATTTTAGGAGCCACTTTTGGCCAAAAAATAAAGAACGCTAGATGGCGCTGATCCAAATAGTTATTGCTATTTACAGTAAAGTCACTTTAATAATTATAAACCAGCCGCAAATAATCTTATAAATAGAAGATAAATAGTTGACATTTTTTATGCTTTTTGCGTCAAGTTTACAATCTATCTTTTATCAAAAAATCGATCACTACAAGTAAATAAATATTCTATTTATCTTATACGGCTTATAAAATCTACCATATTTACAAAATTACAATACTTTAGACCTTTTACCATTAACTCATGGAAGCACAGCCCTTTAATTTTATAGTTTAAATAAACAGTTAACTTATACAATATGTACATACCAAGATTTGGGTTACAGAAATCTTGAACAACGTTTAAATAGATACATAAAGTAATAAGTCCAAAAGAGACAACTGAAGAAAAAACTATTTTATAGCTACGAAATGAGTTGCGGCTGGTTTATAAGTGACTAAATGGCTCTACGCGCTAAAGCTCTGGCTGAAAAGTTTAGGGCCACTTTTTAGTTCAGAAATCCGCAACGCTAGATGGCGCTGATCCAAATAATTAATACTATTTACAGTAGAGCCATATAATCAATTATAAACCAGCCGCAACTAATGTTGTAGATAGAAAATGTAAAGTTAAGATTTTTTATGCTATTTGCGGCAAGTTTACCTTTTATTTTTTATTCGAAAATTGACCTCCAAAAGTATAGATATTCTACTTACATGGTTTAATAAAATCGACCATATAGCACTATTTAAGTAATGATTACTATAATTACTACACATTAACATAACTTTACGTATATCTTACACATTGGGTGTTTTCCGCAATCGTCACCAGCAAGTAATAGTGGGTTACGCTCTACGTTACCATCAGGTCGGTAAGTCAACTACCTTGAATTAACTGGCGCTCCGTTCCGTAATCTGGCCAGTTAAAATAGCAGACGACGTAAAAGTTGAGAAAAAGTGAAGATTTCATCGCTGTTGACTGTCGTCTGCTATTTTAACCGGCCAGATTACGGAACAGAGCGCCAATCAATTCAAGGTAGTTGACTTACCGACCTGACGGTAACGTAGAGCGCAACCTTAAATTACTTGCTGGTGACGATTGCGGAAAACACTCATTAGTTCAGAGTGGGGTTGGGGTAGGTTAGCATGATAGCAGAAGCATATGCAGTAATGCAGTTTAGTATGCAAATAAAACACAAGTGTTCTGCGATCACATTGTCAACTTTTGTTTTTTAGTATACAGTGTACTACTTAAAAACAAAATTATTACTCGCTATTGATCATGAAGTCAGAAGACAATTTTCTGAAAGGTACGGTGATGATTACCATTAAGATTGTTTCAACTTGTTCCAAGTGTGTTTTTCTTTAATAAGTCTTATAGGTTAGATTCAAATTATTTTATTAATTTGATACAATGATTTGCCATCATGAACATTTCAGATGATAGAGATTTCAGCGACGATGACCTGTATATAAGTGGAGATGATCTGCCTATACCAGGAGATCATGCCGAAGATGATGATGTTGATGGTGATGATGACGACGACGACGACGACTTCAACAGTGAAAGCTCGTCTTCTAGCTCCTACGATTCTGATGAAGGTAATGCACAGGCTAGTAGAAGCCGTCGTTCCAACAATGCAGCTGGTACATCAGGCAAGTATTTTTTTTAACCACTGTTATTTATCATAAGTGAGACCTATCAGGGGCATGGAAAATTCACTTACATTTTTTTAGGACAGAATGAAGATCAAAATTTAGATGAAGAAGATGAAGTGGTACAAGCCATCTTAAAGTCAAAGGATCTTCATAGAGATCATCCTCCAGAAATCGAAGTCGAAGATACTGTTGCTGATATTTGTTTTCATCCACGTAATAATATCATTGCTCTAGCTTCTCTCACTGGAGATGTATTAATGTCAGTTTTTGATTGTATATTTGTACAGTTTTCACCATATACTGAGATGTATTTATAATTTTTACAGATATAAATATAATATTGAAGAAAATCAACTTTTGTCAACTCTAGAGCTGCATGATAAGGCTTGCAGAAAAGTAAATTTTAATGAAGATGGAACTATTCTGTATTCTGCTGGCAAAGATTGCAATATAATGTTGAGCGATGTTGGAACCCAAAAATTAGTTAGATTTTATGAAAATGCACATGAGTAAGGGATTTCAACGTCTTATAACACATAATATCGTTAAATTGATAAAATATTAATTTAAATATTTTCAATGTACTATCTATTTTTTAGTAATCCAATTTATTCAATGACTGTGTTGGATAATAATTGTTTTGCTACCGGAGATGATGAGGGAACTGTAAGATGTAAGTGTTAGTTTCGTTTGATGTTTTTTTGCTTGAACGCTAGTTGTATTATTTATAATGTATCAATTGTTGCAGTGTGGGATCTTAGGCAAAGAGACGATAAACCCATTTTTTCATTGAAAGAAATGGAAGACTACGTGAGTGCTATGATAACAGATGCAGAAAAAAAGTTTTTGGTTTGCACCAGCGGTGATGGTACACTCACCACCTTAAACATTAGGGCCAAAAAAATGCACGTTAGAGTATGTACTACGTTTTTAAAGATTTTTTTAAGCCATAATGTTACTCTGAATATAATTATAAAACTATATTTAGACTGAAGATTATCCACAAGAATTGACATGTCTCGGATTATTCAAACATGGAAGAAAAATATTAGTTGGTGGAAACAAAGGCAACCTATTTCTTTTCAATTGGGGTGAATTTGGACTCCACACGGATGAAATACCAAGTCTGACAAAACAAGCTATAAACTGTATGATACCCATAACCGAAAATGTAGTAGTCACTGGTGGTGAAGATAAAATATTAAGAGCTACAAGCATATTCCCCAATCGTCAACTTGGCGTTGTTGGTCAACACAATTTGTCTGTGGAGTGTCTTGACATTTGTAATGATGGTTCTTTAATCGCCTCATATGCATATGATAACTCCATCAAGTTTTGGAACATTAGTTATTTTGAAACTTTAAATGTCAATAAACCCATTGTCAAGGGTGGAAAACAAAAGACTTCAAAATACAATTTGCCTAGCAGCCAGTTAGAGAATGCATCTGATTTCTTTGCAGATCTTTGATGAGAATAATAAAATTGTAAATTTTGTAAAATATTTAATATAAGTTTTAAATACATAAAATTCAATTTTTATAATTAAATAAAATTGTGTTAATGATTCAGTCCCTTATTCTGTTGTGAAACTATTAAGAAAATAATTTGCCAATTACCATCATTATAGATACTTACAGTTGCCTGTTTGTGTAAGATACTTAGAAAAAATTCGTGTTTTTATTTATGTGTTTAATTGAAGTAATTTTAGAATGAAATCAAAAGAAAAAATTATCTTAGAGAGACA